ACCTGCTGGCCAGTCTCTGCATTCCCGTCTCAATGTGATTATGACCCTACACAAGTCTGACTGTTCAGGTGGCACTTTGATCCTCTCCTCTCCTCGCCTAATGTTCTCAAGGATGCAAACCTGTCTGTGTCTTCTGCCTGAGCCATCCATGACTTCCCTCTTATCAGCCGCTGACCCTTCACTGCACCCAGAGCTTTGTGCAAGGGGCGATCTGTCTGATCTGGATGATCTACAATTGTCACGATAGAGCTTTTCTAAGTACAACTAACCAACTGCGGCTCCGTGTACCCCTGGTGTTAGACGGAGTTACGGATAACTAGCAGACGATAGTTGACGACAGGCTGTGTCCGGCCGCTTCGTTTTCTCAGGCCCACAACTTCGCTTTTTGTATCATGATTTTATCATATTTCTCCACGTTTCATCTCGTAGGGACATTTTTCTGACGTGATCCAAGGTACTGCCGACTATTTTCTTATCGACTGATTATTATAAGGACTAATTATTATAAGGACGTGGCCAAGAGAAAAGCATGAACTAACTTCGTTGATCAATTATCAGAATTTTAATTTGCCATTTTAAATCTTACAATAATTGTCTGTGAAATAGCACTTAGATATTTTAATATGCTATTAAAACCCTTTTACCACTTTTCACTGCATCTTAAGTCTTTTGCTAAGATACCTGGTTTCTGTCAATAATTTCGTATCGCCTTTCCTGCCTTTACGTTCGAGAAAAATCTGAGTGAAAAGTTCACTCGGAAATCGAACGTCCCAATTCTTGAAATGACCACTCGACTTTCTGAGCGCAAGACAAAGTGACAAACGTTTTGAACACTTAGTCACAAAAATTCAAGAAAACAGAAACAACGAGAAATCACGAATGTAAGATGGGCCTGCGTGCCCAATTTGTAACCCTTTGAAAATAAAGTTCGTTCGTTCGTTCATGATTCATGCCTTCATTCAAAACTCCATTCACATTTTCAAAATGATTTTGTGACAGTTATAACTTATAAAATGTTGCTAAATTAAATTAAGATATTTATAATTTTATATTCTGTTGACTAGCTGATAATGTGCATGTTTCAGCTTGCATCTTGATAGCACTTTATGACCTCCAACGTCGGATTGTCACAGCAGTTATTTATATTCCCCAATCTAGTCAGTTTCCTGCAATAGTTTATTAAATTGCTGGATAAGATACTATTAATAGATTCACTGCAATGAAATCGACCAGCAGCGGTTAACTCTAAGCATCAATAGAAGACACCTTCTCTGTTCAGATCACTCATGTAAGTCTTATACTGTATTATCATCATTATTTTTCTACTTCTGCTGCTAAGTGTTGTGGGGAGGAACAGTTTGCGATCCATTGCTTGATGGGCCGAATTGGCTATCGCCATACCATGTGGATGTAGCTCTTTGTCATATACTATATTACATGTTTTACATATTTGACACATTATGAGACACTGATTTTGTTGGTCATTGTGGTGGTGGTGTGTACTTTCATACAAGTTGATTGAGTGACACAGAAACAAAAAGCACACTTCCATTAATTATATCTTTATGCAGTGCTTTCTTTTTAGCTGACCACAAATGACGTCACTGCACAGTCCAATATTTTAGAGGGTGGTAAGAATAGGTTTTCTGTGATTTAGCCTGTTTCTTCTAAAGCCAAGGTTTTCATGCGTTTACCTAACTATAGGCTTAATCTACCACCCCCTGAAATATTTGTCTGTCCAGTGACCTGTGGATTTCCCATGTTTGTGGTCAGCTAATAAGAAAGTATCCTTTATTGCCTAGTCTGGATCAGTTCTTTCCACTTCAAGGGGCCTTTCCAGTCATGTATAGTTCTCTTAACTTTTTGAGTCCCAGGGGGTTTAGCATCAGTGGCCCAATGAGTTCTTATGCAATTTGAAATGTCACAAGTGTTACACATTAAAACAGACTATCTAATTCAGCTGACGCGCAACAAACACATTTTATACCTCTTAAGTGACCAGGGATTGTTAAGTAATAATATCAGAATCAATCAATCAGGTGCCGTCTCCACAATTAAGTTCGGCTGCAATGGATCTCCAACAAGCCCTGTCTCTTGCCCTTGATGTACACTCACTCATACTGCTGTTCGTCCATCTCTTGATGTTATCCTCCCACTTGTGACGCTGTCTGCCTTTTGCTCGCCTACCTTGAACCTTTCCCTCAAGGATGATCTTTACAATATTTTTATGTCTTTTAATGTGGCCAAAATATTTCACTTGTCTCTTTTTTATTTCACCTAGCAACTCTCTTTTCATTCCCAATTTCCTCAGTACCTCTGTATTTCCATGAAATACGACCTAATCTTCTGTATATCCACATCTCCAAAGAATTGATACGATTTTCCAGTTGTTTGTTCATTGTCCATGTCTCTGTGCCATACAGTAAGGTTGAGAATACATAACATTTGACAATTCTCATTTTTAATGTATTGCTTATTTCTCTTGATGTCAGTAACTTTTGCATGTTGTTGAAAATGTTTAACTTCTGTTTAACTTCTGCCATCACATGTTATTGCTTGTCCAAGATATAAGAAATTTTTAACTTGTTCCAATTTCACCCGGTTAACTGTGATATTCATTGTTAGCTGATTATTTTCTTTGCTAAATATCATGGTTTTTGTCTTTTTCAAATTTATATCTAATCCAAATTCTGCGCTCCTTCTGTTTACTTGCTCCACTAGGTCTTACAACTCCTGCTCACTCTCTGCTAGCAACACTGTGTCGTCAGCATATCTCAGATTGTTTATTATTCTACCATTGATGTGCAGTCCTGTTAATTCTACAATTTCTTTAAAAATGGTTTCTGTACATAAGTTGAAAAGGCTAGGCGACAGCACACTTCCTTGTCTTACTCCTCTCTTGATCTCTATCTGAGGTGAGCAGATGTTGTCATATCTTACTGTTGCTTCTTGCTCCCAGTATAAGTTTCTAATAAGTCTTATATCCTTTCCATCTAGTCCTACGTTTTGAAGAGCTGCAATTAGTTGTTCATGTTGCACTCTGTCGAAAGTTTTTTGTAATCTATAAAACATGCATAAATATTTTTCTGAACTTCTATATATTTTTCAGTCAGCATCTTTAGACAAATTATGGCCTCTCGAGTACCACTGTTTTTACGGAATCCAAATTGCTCTTCAGAAACTTCTTTCTCTATTTTATCTTGAATTCTTGCTTGTATTATCTTCAAGAGTAACTTAGTTACTTGACTCATTAGGCTAATAGTTCTGTAATCTTCACAATCAACAGCTTTTGATTTCTTGGGTAGTGTGATAAAAACACATGTTTTCATGTCCATATCAGAATACTTTGACAAAAATAAATTACGTTAGTAGTTAATTAGTAAATAAACAGATATGCTTAGAGAAATTAGAGTTTTTTCCCCACTTACCACCATGACATTCAAGGAGAACTCCATAAATATATCCAGAATGAATTGCAGATGAAACATAAACCAATTATCTAATATCATCATCATCATAAACCACTTCTGCCGTTAAGCATCATAGGGAGAGCTAATTTTTTATCCAATTCTTACTAATAAGTAAAATAGAAACATAATCTGCTCATTAGATCTCGTTTCAGAAAAAATTTTAGAATATCATAACCGAGCACCTTTTTTTTTTTTTTAACTCTTTGAGTCCCAGGGGGTTTTGCATCAGAGGCCCAAAGGGGGTAATATGATTTTGACTTTTAACAAAAGCAGCCCTTTAAAACAAACCACACAACTGCAGCTGATGTGCAACATACACATATCATACATGAAAATAAACATAAATGGATAAGGATTAATATTAGCATACTGCTACAACAAACAATTATACCGTTAGTTAGTATTTAGTAGAGAAAACAGTGACTTAGTTTGAGAGGTGAGTAAATTATGAACAAGTTTTTTCCACTTACCCAGAAGCTGATCCCAAAATTCTTGATATATTATATCCAAAATGCATCACAAAGGAAGTTACACCACTTATAAGTATGCACAGCCAATATTAAAGCAAAATGTGCAATAGTTGTTCCATAGCAATTTAACTAATACTACTATAACACGTCAAAATATATTCTCCAGTGGTACAAACAGTGACTTTTCTAAAAACAATTGAATTCCTCACATAGAAAAAAACTGTAAAGGCACTGTAAACATGTAAACCTGTTCATAGATATATATCTATGGTTTTAGATGATATGGATTGTAGTACTAGAAGCGCTGACATTTGGACTAGCTGGTGTTGCGTTACAAGGTGCTTCTCTTGTGTTGCCATGGCAGAATTAGTCAGTTTTGTCCTCTTAGCAGGAGGTAAATTACGCACACATTCCTCATCAAAACTTTACTCGTCAATGGTTTGGGGAAATACCACGTCGCTACTATCATTATCCAACTCCACATTACTTTGATCGATCCACTGTTTATCAAATTTGATGCTTCTAAAGCAGTAAATCGCTTTGCTGGGCTTGAAGACGATGACTGATCGGACATATTGTTTTCAGACAATTGTTTGGTAACGTAGTAGACTACACAAATATAGATTTATAGCGTTAAAAACTCACCAGACCCAAACGAATGCACTCTACATGTGTTCACTAAACACTTGAGAACCGGAAAGGAAGTTTAAATTGAGCGGTTCTCATGTAATTACAGATAAGTGGTAAATTAAAAACCGTCACACATCACGCGCTGATTGGGCCGCCAGGTAGTAACCAATTAGCACGTGATGCGTTCCTTGGGATTCAAAGAGTTAAGAAAAAAGTATTTTCATACAAAGAAAACGAACTTCATATAACATTGTTAGCCCTAATTCTGTAGCCTATGTTCCCCCCAAAAAATATCAATTATTTTTTCTTTTAACAAATATGGCCTCATAACCCACACGGAGAAGTCACTAATTTGCTTATTAATAATTGACTCTTGATAACATGATGTGTTTTTCTTTCTTCCTAGACACCATTTATTCATAGAAACAATATGGCAACTCGTAAGGAAGACAGCAGTTCAATTTATCGTATTCCACCATATTATTACATCCATGTTCTTGAGAAGAATAAAAATGTGACCAGGATTGAAATTGGGCCTCGGACCTATGTGAGACAAGACAATGAAAGGTGAGATGATAGATATATGTGAGACAAGACAGTGAGAGGTGAGTCGATAGATATATGTGAGACCAGACAGTGAGAGGTGAGACGATAGATATATGTTAGACAAGACAGAGGTGAGATGATAGATATATGTGAGACAAGACAGTGAGAGGTGAGATGATAGATATATGTGAGACAAGACAGAGGTGAGATGATAGATATATGTGAGACAAGACAGAGGTGAGATGATAGATATATGTGAGACAAGACAGTGAGAGGTGAGATGATAGATATATGTGAGACAAGACAGAGGTGAGATGATAGATATATGTGAGACAAGACAGAGGTGAGATGATAGATATATGTGAGACAAGGCAGAGGTGAGATGATAGATATATGTTAGACAAGACAGAGGTGAGATGATAGATACATGTGAGTCAAGACAATGAGAGGTGAGATGATAGATGAGACAGAGAGAGACATAGATAATAGATGTATCAGACAGTGAGAGGTGAGACAATAGATGTGAGACAAGACAGTGAGGGGTGAGACAATAGATATATTTGAGACACGACAATGTGAGGTGAGATAATAGATATATTTGAGACACGACAATGAGAGGTGAGACAATAGATATATTTGAGACACGACAATGAGAGGTGAGACAATAGATATATTTGAGACACAACAATGAGAGGTGAGACAGTAGATAAACGTGAGGCAAAACAGTGAAAGGTGAAATTAAAAAAAAAAATTGTTAATCTCTTTAAAAAGGTGAGATGATAGATAAGATAGAGACAGAGATAATAGACATATTAGATAGTGAGAGGTGAGACAATAGATATATGTGAGGCAAGACAATGAGAGGTGAGACAATAGATATATGTGAGGCAAGACAATGAGAGGTGAGACAATAGATATATGTGAGGCAAGACAATTAGAGGTGAGACAATAGATATATGTGAGGCAAGACAATTAGAGGTGAGACAATAGATATATGTGAGGCAAGACAATGAGAGGTGAGACAATAGATATATGTGAGACAAGGCAATGAGGTGTGACAATAGATATATGTGAGACAAGACAATGAGAGGTGAGACAATAGATATATGTGAGGCAAGACAATGAGAGGTGAGGCAATAGATATATGTGAGGAAAGACAATGAGAGGTGAGACAATAGATATATGTGAGACAAGACAATGAGAGGTGAGACAATAGATATATGTGAGACAAGGCAATGAGGTGTGACAATAGGTATACATGAGGCAAGACAAAGAGAGGTTAGACATTAGATAAGATAGAGAGAGGTAATAGACATATAACAGGTGAGGTGAGATAATAGATATATGTGAGACAAGACAAGGAGAAGTGATATAATTGATATATGCCTGGCAAAGCAAAGATGTAAGACATATACAGGTGATATTGTAGATGTATGGTAGACATAGAGAGGGGAGAATGTATATGTATGCAAGACAGAGGAGATTATAGATTTTTGTAAGACATAGAGATGGGAGATTGTAGATGCATGTGAGACATAGATGGATAAGACTAAATAAGCACATTCACTATTAATGTATAATAAGTTTGTCAGTAGAACATGATTGTATTTCAGAGTCACTTTTGGTCCTGAGAAGATGGTGGTGGTTCCACCCCAGCACTACTGTATTGTTGAGAATCCAGCCCTGCGGGGTAAAGATGGGTCACCTCTAATCGACAGTCTCGGCCAGATAAGACTTCAGCATGCTGACCTAGAGATCAGGCTCACCCAGGAGCCATTCCCACTGTATCCAGGGGAGCTTCTACAAGTGGTAACTGATTCTGTATGGTATAGTTATAGCCCTTGAACTGAAATATGCCTTTAGGCATATAGGGCTAAATCAATATTTTTATAGGCTAATCGGCACAAGATGGGTGGTGTGGTCAGCATCACGCCGGCTGTCTTTACTTCCCAGTACCCACTCCAGGCTGGATCGACCTGGGAGTCAAGGTCATTTTTGAAAAAAGCTGACTCTGCTAGGAAGTGAACCCATGACCTTCCAATCCGCATGCGACCGTCTAGCGGCTACGCCATGGGGACTCCCTGGAATTGTAATGCTACAGAAAATTTCTTAGACTCCGTGGAGCTAGAAGGAGAAAAACACTGACATCCTACAAGATCTAAGTATTTAGGAGAATTGGCTCATAAACAGCATGCTAGAGAAAGACAGAGACTTTCAGGTATGCCATAACCAGAGTAGTATTCTATAAAGGGCCTTTTGATGATTAATGATGGTAATATTTAATATTTTTCTGTGTTTAAGACAACCCCTGTTTGTTTAGCTAAAATTTAGAAATAAATATTTTAAACACATTCAGTGTATAAGACGGCACCCCCCCCCCCCCTTTTCCAGATTCAAACTGAAAAATCTTAGGAAAACAAATCTTTTTGTACATGAGAAAATAAAGTACATGTAATATTTATCAAGGTTTGTGCAGTCAGTAAAATTCCCTGACTTTTTGCCTAGGTTGTTGATGTTGTTTTGTCTTAGCCATGCCTGCTTATTTTTAATTTACTGCTGATAGATGCTGTAAGCAACAACATAATCCAGGCCACAAGACACTCCAGGCAACAACATACTCCAGGCCACAACATACTCCAGGCAACAACATACTCCAGGCAACAACATACTCCAGGCCACAACAACACTCCAGGCAACAAAAACACTCCAGGCCACAAGATACTCCAGGCAACAAAATACTCCAGGCAACAACACACTCCAGGCAACAATAAACTCCAGGCAACAACATACTCCAGGCAACAAGACACTCCAGGCAACAAGACACTCCAGGCAACAACATACTCCAGGCAACAACACACTTCAGGCAACAACACACTCCAGGCAACAACACACTCCAGGCAAAAACACACTCCAGGCAAAAACACATTGCAGCCAACAACACTCCAATGAGCAACATACAACTAAAAACAGAACATCCTTAGCACAACTCACTTATAGACAATATATCCATTTGGCTCGTGATGTCAGATTAATCCCAAGCAGTATTCTGCGAGTTAAAGAAATGAGATGATGTGTTCACTGAATCTGTTTGGTTTGTGCTCACAGCAAGTGACTCCCTTGACAGTAGTCAAAGCAAACTCTGCACTGAGAATCTGTGCTGTCCTAGACTTTCTTGATGGGGATACAGCCCGAGTCGCTGGAGACGAATGGTTGTTTGAAGGACCAGGTATGTCACTCGTTGTGTACCACACACCCCCCATCCCCCTCTAACAAGCATGCTGTAAAAGGCAGCTAATTAGAGGTGTTTGCTTAAAGTCAGAGCTCTTCTGCCTGGCCGGTGTGATGCTGACCACATCACCCACCAAGTGCCGATTGGTCTATAAAATATAGGTCTAGCCCTATATGCCTTGTACGCCTAAAGGTGTGGAAAAGAGTCCTTTACTTTTTTTCTTCTTCTGACTTGACAGGTGAAAAACCAACAGTCTGCATACAAATAAGCCAGATCTTTCAAATGAATGTGCACGCAAAACTCAACCAGAACTTTCTGTCAGACTTACAGCTGAACACGAAGAAGAGGAGCAAGAAGAAGTAGATCATTGTATGCATGGCCACAACAAATGTCCATCACTTTGTTGTTTGTTTTATATGCCCTTCAACATCTGCTAAATTCAAAATCTCTTATCTCACACCAAGATCAAAATATATAAAATGTTAAGACCAGTCAGTTTATATGGTTCTGAAACTTGGAGCACAACTTAAAGAGATGAAGCCTTATTACAAATTTTCGAAAACAGAGTATTACGATGAATCTTTGGACCCATCAAAGATGCAAACAGCAGGAAATATAGAGTGAGAAGCAACAACAAAATTTATAATCTTTTTAAATCACCACTGATCACTGGCATTATGAGAGCTAATAGACTAAAATGGCTTGGGCATATTGAGAATGTCAAATGACAGAGAGGTAAAAACTGTATACATAAGGAAGCTGAATGGTTGTATACCATGAGGCAGACCAAGAATACGATGGAGAGATAATGTCCAGACAGACCTGCAAACACTTGGTGTCACTACCTGGAAAGAGAAGGCCAACCAGAGAGATGAATGGAGGTGGGTGATATCTGCGCAATGAACCTCAACGGCTCGGAACGCTGAAAAAGAAGTTTTAATATGCACTGGTTGTTGGTTGTTGGTATCTTTCTGTCTTCCTAGATGATAGTGTTATAGCCAGGCATAAGAATCATGGCTCATGGTAGGGGGACATTACGGCCAGGGGTGAAGTTCCTCCTCTCTCTGGCACAAAGCCTGGGTGTCAGGTAAAGACCATGTGTTTCCCATGCAGCATAATCCTTCGCCAGGGGTGAAGTTCCTCCTCTCTCTGGCACAAAGCCTGGGTGTCAGGTAGAGACCATGTGTTGCCCATGCAGCATAATCCCTCGCTCAGCCTGCTTTTCTAACTCCAGAATGAAGGTTGTTGTTTGTTTCTTGCGTTCACCAGCTGTTAACCCTGGCGGAAAGACCTGATTGTTCATCCATTTCTCCACTTTGGCTTTGTTCCTGGACCTGAGTTTTGCGTGTTTACAGATCTTGCTTATTTGTGTGCAGACTGTTGGTCCCTTTCCTCTCAAGCAGATGCATATGACTTTAAAGGTAGCCCACAGCTGACTCTTGTGACTTGGTTTTGGGGGAGGTAGTGAATCTAATTCTTGTTTTCCTCATAAAGAGACCCCGGAACCCATACAGGGAAAAAACTTGAAGGTAATAGCAGTACATTTTGGACCAAGCATGCTGCCGAAGCTGCAGGATCAGAACAACAGAGTTCTGTCTGCCTGCCTTCCTATTGGAGCTTCCCTTCTAGAGCAGCTGCCAGTGAGGGCTAAGTGCCTGATCGGCCCTGAATAACCAGTAATGTTTGATTTTGTTACTCCTTCAGCTGTGAACTGTGGAAGAAATAGAAGAAACTCTTTCGGTTACAGAAGAAACCATGGAATTAAAGAAACACGCATTTGAGAACAAATGTCTAAAGAACAGGCAAGCAACCACTGGTATCAGCCCCCTTAAAAGTGACGCTCAGAGGAGAGGCAAGATGGACGTATAATCAGAACGCTGTTGGCATCACTGGTATTGAAACTCTGCTCTGGCTGCTTAAGATGGAGACGTAGCGCTTATGGGAATTCCCTGAGTGCTGTTATGTTAGTTCTTGAATCAGCACAACTCAACTCAACACTACTGCTGCTGCTGCTTCTTCTTCTTCTTCTTTGCATTTGCCAGCTGTAAACTCTGGTGGAAAGTCCTGTCTGTTCATCCATTTCTGGACCGTGTCTTGTTCCAGGATGTTGCCTGCACATCACTTTTACAGACCAGGCTTATTTGTATGCAGACTGTTGGTTCCTCGCCTCTCAGACACAGGCACTCCAACGCTGGAGACATGTCGAGCCTATTTACTTTGACCAAACCACATGGTTTTAAACATGTTTCTTGAAAGGTCTTGACCAGTTTGTGCCCTGGACCTGATCTTCTACTGCATGTGTTTCAGCACCTCTGCATTGTACTTGACCATTTGATTCCCTGGAGTTTTGATCAAATCCATTACTGAATTAAACTCATGTCTATTCTGCTCTAATGGAGCATAAGTCCTTAGTCAGCTCACGCCAATCATGCTATCGCATGCAGCTCACCTCTTGTCCGCATCTTTTCAACTTCTGTCTCTAGCTCCCTTCTCCCTGTGTATTTTTTTTTAAACTTGCCATTGTGGATTCCAATTTAGAGCCCTTGTCCTGTTGTCAGATTTTCCTTGTGTGTGTCCACCCTGTCTAATGCTAGCGTGTTTTTCTCACCTCTTGATTCACTGGAATTTGTTTAGTTCTTTCCTAAAGCTCCTCATTAGTGATTTTATCATACCATTTAACTCCAACTATTCTGCACAGGTACTGGTTAATGAAGGTTTGTCATTATATTCATCAGCTTCCTGATAACAGGACGATGACTGGTGACCACTTGGTTTGAATCGGTTGGGGGCATATCCTTCCTTATGGGATAAAGTGCAGTCATTACCATTGCTATCTGTTATTACTACATAACGTTTTCTTTGTAGACATTTGAGCTCTGTTGTTGCAGGAACCTACATCCCCCGCAAAGAGTGTAAAGTAGTAGAAACTATACAGGCAACAGTCATCGGACCAGACCAGGCTATCCGTCTGCGTGCTCGTAAGGAATACAGTGACAGAGATGGCAACCCTCGTGTAACAGGAGAAGAGTGGCTTGTGAAGAAGACTGGAGCCTACCTTCCTGGGGCTTACGAGGAAGTTGTCAGTATTGTCACTGCTTACGTGCTGACTGAGAAGGTATGTCATGGGTAGGCAAGGTTTTACACCATTATCATCTGTTACCCCATTGTACTTGTTCCTTGATCAGTTTTTTTATGATGAATGTCAGACTGCTGCTGCTTCTTTGCTGCTACTTCTTCTTTTCCTCTTCCTTCTTCTCCTCCTTTTTCTTCTCCTCCTCCTCCTCTGCTTCTTCTTATGCTTATTTTTCTTCTTCGTCTTCTTCTCCTCTACTTCTTTTTCCTCCTCCTCCTCCTTTTGTCATCTCACTGATACCAGGTTATAGTCCAGAGTTGGGATTCCCTGCATTTGTCTTGTGCTTCTAGGGTGGCCTGGGTGATGGATGTTTATCTTTTTGCAGGTTTCAGCTACATCGTTTATCAATCTCTTTGCCCGGCTCATTAGCATAGTTAGCTAAACCTCTGACTTTGTGACGATCAGGTGACGAACTCCTTGTGGTCAAGGTTCAGGCCCGGGGGTAGGCAGACAAGCCACATTTCTCTCAGATTTACGGTACCTATCATGGAATCAAGGCCGAAGGGTTGCGATATCCATAGTACCGAGCCTAAGGGTTAACACCTCATGGCTTCTGGATACTTTAAAAAAATATCTTTATTCTTCTTTCTTATAATTTATTCTCTCTTGTGTAGCAGCCGTTGATTACACCACTGCTGACGAGAATATCTCAGACCAAACTCTTTTCTTGGTTCTGAAATAGCTGGAATGCAGGGGTGCTGAACCACACATGGTGTTGCTGCACCAGGACCAGCGCTCAGACTGGTCAAGACCAGCGCTCGGACTGGTCAGGACCTGCCTTCCCCTCAATCGTCACCCTAGAAATAGGTACCCCACCAAGGATCTTCTTCTTCTTCATCAGCATTCCGAGCCCTTGAGGTTCATTGCTGCAGATATCACCTTCCTCCATTCATCTCTCTGGTTATCCTTCTCTTTCCAGTTGGTGACACCAAGTGTTTGCAAGTCTGTCCGGAAATGATCTATCCATCTTCTTCTTGACCAAGGATCTGGCCAACGTAAATAGAATCAACATTTTCTTCTAAATCAGAATGCATCTGCCTGAGAGAAAATAAACTTAAATCTGCACACACACACAAATAAGCCAGATCTGTAAAACGAATATGCATGCAGCACTAGAGTCCTGGAACAAGACTAAACTCCAGGAGCGGACGAACAACCAGGACTTTATGCCAGAGTTTACAGCTGGTAAATGCTAGGAAGAAAATATTTTGATCACGATGACTTGGTGTTTGTCTACAGAAAGCTCTACATATGCGCTGCCTGAGAACTTTTAAGGATGACTTTGGGGTTGTGCGAAAGAATGGCGAGGAATGGCTGATCACAATGAAAGATACAGAAACCCATATCCCCAATGTTTATGAAGAGGTAATATCTGGTGGTATTTGTATAAATAGATAAGATCTAGCGGCATTTGTGTAAATGGATACCGTCTAGTGGCATTTGTTTAAATAGATAAGGTCTAGTGGCATTTGCATAAATAGATAAGGTCTAGTGGCATTTGTATGTGTAGATAAGGTATAGTGGTATTGATATAAATAGAGGTCTAGTGGCATTTGCATAAATAGATAAGGAATAGTGGTATTGATATAAATAGATAAGGTATAGTGGTATTGATATAAATAGATAAGGTATAGTGGTATTGATATAAATAGATAAGGTCTAGTGGCATTTGTATGTATAGATAAGGTATAGTGGTATTTATATAAATAGATAAGGTCTAGTGGTATTTGAATATCTAGCTAAGGTCTAGTGGTATTTATATGTAGATACTTGTCTAATGGTATTTGTATTATAGATAAGGTCTAGTAGTATTTGTATATGTAGATAAGGTCTAGTGGCATTTGCATTAAAAGATGTCTTGTGGCATTTGCATAAATAGATGTATAGTGACATTTGTTTAAAAAGATAAGGTCTAGTGGAATTTGTAGAAATAGATCAGGTCTAGTGGCATTTGTAGAAATAGATCAGGTCTAGTGGCATTTGTAGAAATAGATCAGGTCTAGTGGCATTTGCATAAATAGTGTATATTGACATTTTTTAATAGGTAAGGCATTTGTAAAAATAAATAGTCTAGTGGTATTTATATAAATAGATTACTCTAGTGATATTAGTATAAATAATTGTTACTTGTCTGGATCAACATCCCAGCACATCGGTGTGACCAATTCTTACTCCAACCTCCAATACAACAGCCATCCTTATGTCTCCCCCCTGCTCAACCTACACCAGTAGCAGTTGATTGGCACATATTCTTTCTTTGCCCTGCAACAGGTTTTCTGCATGTTTGTCCTCATTCAATACCCATTTCCAACAGGTGGTTCATCATCGCTGACTCCTTTGTCTCACTGTTTGTTTTTGAGGTAATGCTTGTATAAAAAGCATCCTGAAAAACTGTGATATGGCTTTTTGGGGGCGTCTTACTTTAAGGAAAACAGTATTAACTGAGTTGCAGCATTGGCCATGTAGCCCTATATCCTCAGGCTCAAAGGCCCCACCCCTCCCCCATTTTCCCCCTGCCCCCATAATAGAAATGGTAAAAACAGGCAGTAGTGGCAGTTTTTGTTGTCATTTTATATCTTGTGGCCAACATTGTATATAAACCAGTTATACCTTGATTGTATCATTCTTCAGCCGGTGAATGTGACCACCATGATATATAAACCATTTATATTGTGGTTCTATCATTCTCCTGCTGGTGAATGTGTTCAACATTGTATAAAAAACAATTATCTTGCTTCTATCATTCTGCAGGTGGTGGGTGTCGTGGACATTACAACATTGACCACTCGCCAGTACTGTGTTATTCTTGACCCTGTCGATGCAAGTGGCAAGCCTCAACTTGGACAGAAGTTGTTGGTTAAGGCAAGTTAGATGTTGCACAGAAGTTGTTGGTTAACATAAGTTAGATGTTGCACAGAAGTTGTTGGTTAAGGCAAGTTAGATATTGCACAGAAGTTGTTGGTTAACACAAGTTAGATGTTGCACAGAAGTTGTTGGTTAACATAAGTTAGATGTTGCACAGAAGTTGTTGGTTAAGGCAAGTTAGATATTGCACAGAAGTTGTTGGTTAACACAAGTTAGATGTTGCACAGAAGTTGTTGGTTAACATAAGTTAGATGTTGCACAGAGGTTTTTGGTTAAGGCAAGTTAGATGTTGCACAGAAGTTGTTGGTTAAGGCAAGTTAGATATTGCACAGAAGTTGTTGGTTAAGCCAAGTTAGATATTGCACAGAAGTTGTTTGGTTAAGGCAAGTTAGATATTGCACAGAAGTTGTTGGTTAACATAAGTTAGATATTGGGCAGAAAATTTGTTTAAAATAAGTTAGATGTTGGACAGAAAATTTTGGTTAAAATAAGTTAGTTGTTGGATAGAAAATAGTTGTTAAAGTAAGTTAGTTTTTTTTCTAGTGTTGTTGATAGGTGGCCAGACTTTTTTTTTTTCCTGTTTCATCCTGGTTACAAGGCTGAAGCATGAATTTAAATTCTAGTGGTGGACTGTTGGTGTTGGCAACTTTAGTATTTACCACATGAACCTGTTGTTGGCTTTTGCAGGTCTGCAATCTATCCAACTTTCTAATTGGGTGTTCTTTTTCTAGCTCAGGAATTGAACCATTCTGGTGTAACCTGATCAGTGTGAAGCTGGTGCAGTAGTTAACGACTAGTAAGTTGTGATTGTAGAATGTGCACAATCAACACATGGAAATACGATAATGTTTTTACACTGTCCATCTTCTGACTGCCCAGGGGGAGAAGTCCTTCTTTCTGATGCCTGGTGAGAAGCTGGAGAATGGAATCCAAAATGTCTACATCTTAGGGGAAGATGAAGGGCTGATTCTCAGAGCCAGGGAAGCTTTCACTGACAGGGTTTGTATCTCAGTTTACATGTTATCAGTCATTAACCTTCTTCTTCTTTTGTTCTTTTGCGTATGCCATAAAGTATCACAGAGAGGAGTTAGACGTAGTTTCCTGTCTTCTGCTAGTTGGATAGCTTGTGTTAATGTCATACTGCATTTCTGTAGTGTCTTTTTACTCTCTCGACTCATCTCTTTCTTGGTCAGCCTCTTGCCTTTAGTCTGCTGTTCTCATTAAATATGCTCCACTGCATTTAGTTCCATTCTGACCAGGTAACCATACCATTTTATTCTTTAATGATTTATGAAATGATTTACATGTACTGTACTTACCATTGTTCTTAGTTCTTCATTGGCGACATTCACAAAATCCCTAAATCTGCCTCTCCATATCTCATATGTAAAAGACTTTTCTTAAATGTGTCCTAAATCTATCTATCAGCCACATCTTTGAATACAGGTGACATCACATTCTAAGAAGCAAAGCGCAAATTTAGCAGGCTTTATACTGCACCTGTTGTAAAATCATGACTATCGTTGGCATCTTGAAAGAGGTCATTCTCACACCCTCTGCTCCACTAATAAATATCTCATAAAAGGTGACTTATTAAGGGCTTGCTAAAATTGGATGTGTAGTCGAAAAAGCACAGATATCGCAGCCTAGCTGTAAATCACATAAGGTACCAACCACACCTTGAAGGGTAAACGCAGAAGAAAAATGTTGTTACAGAGTAATGTCCCTACTGCCGAGGAACAAGTGCAGGAAACTTAACATCCTACGACATGCTTGTTTAGAAAGAAATGGTACGTGACAGACAGACAGACAATATTTCATTGGTCGAAGGGGCATTTATATGCGTAGCAGGGGACCCAGAGTGTAGTGCGCCAGAGAGAGTATTTTAAGAATAAGTGAGATTATATGGGAAGACGTGAAGGGACACAAAAACGTAGGTACTTGTGGTTGTTTTCGTTATTGTTGCTAAGGGGGTAGACTTCATCTTGAGCTTGGAAAATAAATGGACCTTTGATTGATATTCACGGGTTATGTAAGTATGGTAAAGTGCTGGGAATGGATGGCCTAATGGATGGCCTTTGTATTGTTATGTTGGATATTGAGACGCAACTGCTTCAGCACCAACACTACACATTCATGGTCTTAGACATGGTCGATAAACATCAACCTGGGTGACTATCCAGGCAGGACACTGCCACAATTTAAATTTGTGATGTTAAAGTCAAGGTTAGGTTAAAGGCTACAGTGGAGGGGGTCAACTTCATTGTTCCGGGTTTTATCCTGTATGGCTGACTCTATCTGCAGAATGGCTAGCGACCTGCCAATAGCATTGCATCAAGCACAAACTCCATAACTGTGGCAACGATCCCCAGGGATCTTCGTAAAAATTGCGCCCGTGAACTGAACGACACAGCCGTGAAATGAACCCGCGCCCTTCAGAGCGCGAGGCAAATGGCGTCATCAGGGAGACCCTGTGTGATGTGTCTGTGATGTGTTTACCAGATGAGCCATTATTTCACAGAAAGTTGTGCGTTCTCCTGGAGACCGGTGGATGATTCGAGGGCCAGCAGAGTATGTGCCGCCAACAGAAGTGGAGGTCATCATGAAGCGACAAGCTATCCCACTGGATGAGAACGAGGGCATCTATGTCCGAGACATCAAAACTGGCAAGGTAGATATGACTGTGTATGAATGAGTATATGTGTATAAAGTATGTATGAGGTGTATGTGTAAAAGTTATGTATGAATCATTTGACTGGCCAGACATAAATATGACTTCTGTTGGAGATACGTAATTTAAGTGATATTTATGTATTGTGGATTTGAAGATATTGTGTTCATTGTAGATTTTAAATATATGCTGTTGAAGGCTATATAGCTGGAGTGTTCACTTGGGTTTATAAAATTGTGAAGCTGGCTGGTTTAATTTTTTTGTTTCGTTTGATATCTTTTCACGGCAAGACATGTACAGTGCTTATCTTGGTTGATATCTTTCCATGGCAAGACATGCACAGTGATTATCGTGGCTTGATATCTTTCCATGGCAAGACATGTACAGTGCTTATTTTGGTTGATATCTTTCCATGGCAAGACATGTACAGTGCTTATTTTGGTTGATATCTTTCCATGGCAAGACATGTACAGTGCTTATCTTGGTTGATATCTTTCCATGGCAAGACATGTACAGTGATTATTTTGGTTGATATCTTTTCATGGCAAGACATGTACAGTGATTATCTTGGTTGATATCTTTCATGGCAAGACAGGTACATTGATTTTCTAAGCTTGATATCTTTTCATGGCAAGACAGGTACATTGATTTTCTAAGCTTGATATCTTTCATGGCAAGACAGGTACATTGATTTTCTAAGCTTGATATCTTTCATGGCAAGACAGGTACATTGATTTTCTAAGCTTGATATCTTTTCATGGCAAGACATGTACAGTGATTATCTCCACTTATGTTATCCGTGTGGGAGTTCTGGGGCCCCAGAATGCTGCGATGGCCATTCTTAATGCAACAAATGTACATACAAAACTAAAGTTCTGGGAAAGATCAAAGTCGTGAAGTGGAGGAACAACCAGATCTTTCTGTGAGCACAAGGAAGAAGACATCTCTGATAGATGGGCCTGTCCACACACAAAACATACCTGCTATAATGCCTGGATTTTGTGGTGATGGTTGGGGGGAGGGGTGCCTGCGGATTTATAGCTACATGGCTGGTGTAGTCACTAGAGACTGTGCAGATCAGGACTTTTATTTTTACTCTCAGTAGAGGAAAAAACCTATAAACTTATAAAGGGTTTAAACCTTGGAGCCCAGCATTCTTAACTGATTGACCAGCTGCGCCTCGCTAGATGTCTCCATGCTCAGTTTTTACCTAGCCAGCCTGCCCAGTCTCTAATGGCTCACAGATCATGCATGTCCTGGTAAGAAAAGGAAGGTACTTCTTCTTTCACCATTTAAATGGCAGTTGGCATGTTGTGTTGTGGTTTACAGTTAGGCTGCAGTATCTGCTCCTTTCAACCCAACACATCTGATTTGAGAAAACTCCTAATTATTCCCCTTTTTACGACATGCTTTTTAGGGTGGCAGTGTTTTTTTTAATGTGGGCACCCTCCCCTCCCCTCATTTGCACTGGGACAAGGTCTGTGAAGTAGGGATGAATTGTGAAGTAGGGATGAATTGTGAAGTAGGGATGAATTGTGAAGTAGGGATGAATTGTGAAGTAGGGATGAATTGTGAAGATTTATTACATTAACAGAAGCAAATTGACAGCTGAAAGGGCCATAACTGATTGCATGTTTGTGCTGTCCTAGGTGCGGGCTGTACAAGGAAGCACCTACATGCTCAACCAGGACGAGGAACTCTGGTCCAAAGAGCTTCCTCCCCTGGTAGAGGGTCTCCTGTTCATTGAGCACCTGCCCGAGGTCCGATACCAGTCCTCACTGGGGTTTGTATGGCAGAATTGTCATTGTCCATATAGATAAGTAAAGCAGGCGGAGAGAGGGATCATGATCGTGGGCAACACATGGTCTCTGTAAAATTGCCTAGTCTTTGTGCTAGGAAACATGCAGGTGGATCTTGCTAGTTTGGCTGTGTTTTCCATTGCTCCCTGCAGCACTGTCGTCTAAAAAGACGGGAAAATGCCAATCAGGCAGTCATATCAGTAAACTAGTTTTGAGGTTTTGGAACAAGGGATCAACATCATGGCACATGGGTAGTAACCCATAAGTGTTCCGTTCTTCTTCTAACTCAAGTCTGAGTCCCATGAAGCTTAACACAGTGCACAAGCACTGTAGCACCGGCAAGGATCCTGAAATACTTTGGGCAGCCCCGTTAGTTTACTCTTTTCGATTTCCAACTGCCAAGGGATTTTTTTACGTGACTCGAGACCATGCAGCCCCCCCCCCCCCCCCCCCCCCCAAAGGTAAATGAGTAAAGTTTGCTGAGCATCTTTTACAAGACATGGCAGAACCAACGCTAGCATTTGTTGGCTTCTTCTTCTTATGTCTTGTTCTGCATTTCACTGTCAGGTTTGAAGAGCTAGCTGGTTCTGTATCACTTGGTGCTAAAGGTTTGAAGAGCTAACTAGTTCTGTACCACTTGGTGCTGAAGGTTTGAAGAGCTAGCTAGTTCTGTACCACTTGGTGCTGAAAGTTTGAAGAGCTAACTGGTTCTGTACCACTTGGTGCTAAAGGTTTGAAGAGCTAACTGGTTCTGTACCACTTGGTGCTAAAGGTTTGAAGAGCTAACTAGTTCTGTATCACTTGGTGCTAAAGGTTTGAAGAGCTAGCTAGTTCTGTACCACTTGGTGCTAAAGGTTTGAAGAGCTAACTAGTTCTGTACCACTTGGTGCTAAAGGTTTGAAGAGCTAGCTAGTTCTGTATCACTTGGTGCTAAAGGTTTGAAGAGCTAACTGGTTCTGTACCACTTGGTGCTGAAGGTTTGAAGAGCTAGCTAGTTCTGTACCACTTGGTGCTGAAGGTTTGAAGAGCTAACTGGTTCTGTACCACTTGGTGCTGAAGGTTTGAAGAGCTAACTGGTTCTGTACCACTTGGTGCTGAAGGTTTGAAGAGCTAGGTTCTGTACACTTCTGTAATCAACTTGGTGCTGAAGGTTTGAAGAGCTAACTGGTTCTGTACCACTTGGTGCTGAAGGTTTGAAGAGCTAACTGGTTCTGTACCACTTGGTGCTGAAGGTTTGAAGAGCTAACTGGTTCTGTACCACTTGGTGCTGAAGGTTTGAAGAGCTAACTGGTTCTGTACCACTTGGTGCTGAAGGTTTGAAGAGCTAACTGGTTCTGTACCACTTGGTGCTAAAGGTTTGAAGAGCTAACTGGTTCTGTACCACTTGGTGCTGAAGGTTTGAAGAGCTAACTGGTTCTGTATCACTTGGTGCTGAAGGTTTGAAGAGCTAACTGGTTCTGTGCCACTTGGTGCTGAAGGAAGAGCTAACTGGTGACAACTTGGAGCTGAAAGGTTTGAAGAGCTAACTGGTTCTGTATCACTTGGTGCTGAAAGTCTGAAGAGCTAACTGGTTCTGTATCACTTGGTGCTGAAGGTTTGAAGAGCTAGCTGGTTCTGTACCACTTGGTGCTGAAAGTTTGAAGAGCTAGCTGGTTCTGTGCCACTTGGTGCTGAAGGTTTGAAGAGCTAACTGGTTCTGTATCACTTGGTGCTGAAGGTTTGAAGAGCTAACTGGTTCTGTATCACTTGGTGCTGAAGGTTTGAAGAGCTAACTGGTTCTGTATCACTTGGTGCTGAAAGTTTGAAGAGCTAGCTGGTTCTGTACCACTTGGTGCTGAAAGTTTGAAGAGCTAGCTGGTTCTGTACCACTTGGTGCTGAAAGTTTGAAGAGCTAGCTGGTTCTGTACCACTTGGTGCTGAAAGTTTGGAAGAGCTGCAGTTCTGTATCACTTGGGTGCTGAAAGTTTTGAAGAGCTATGGTTCTGTAGGGTCTAGCTGGTATTGACAACAGACTACTTTGCCTTGATTTCTACAATACTGTTGAGATCCAGCCGTCAGAAAGCAATAGCAAACTGCTAGAAAAAAACATTCCTAGTAAAACCACAGACAGGTGTTGGGAGTTGGTCTTCAATGTCGCATAAATGGTACACATTATTTTTAACTACGCCCCCCCCCCCCCCACCGCCCCCTTTCCTTAGGTGAATAAAACAAGTAAAAGAGTGAATCAGAAATCAATGTCACTGCCCCCCACCCCCTACGTTTTGAATTAATCTTTCTCCCCGTGTGGGTTCCAGGGCCACATTGTGGGGGAAAAAATAATAAATAGACCCTCTGCCTACCCAGCAAGCATGTTGTAAGAGTAAACTAATTGGGTGCCTCCTTCGAAGTCAGAGTACATCTGCCTGAGAAGCAAGGAATCAACAATCTGCATACAAATTAGCCAGTAAAATCGGATGTACACACAAAACTCAGGTCCTGGCACAGAGCTAAAAGTCCAAATGGACAAATGACTAAGACTTTCCTTTAGAGCTTACAGCCGGTGAGCAAAGATCATCTTCCAGAACCTCTACTCACCACGCTGAATAAGTATTTAAGGGTGCAAATTCTCTTCATGTTCTATTGCACTGTTTGTTTGATCCCAGAAAATAATACTAATATAAGTATGTACCATTTACTGACACTTTATTTATTAAATGTTACAATTCTTATAACCAGGGGAGCCCCAAAGATAGGCAAACCTCGTGATAAAACCAGAGTGGTGACATACCGGGTGCCTCACAATGCTGCTGTACAGATTTATGACTACAAGGAGAAGAAAGCCAGGTGAAGATCTGTGTGTTGTGACAGTAGTGTTTCTCAGACCAGTATTGTGTTGTGACAGTAGTGTTTCTCAGACTAGTATTGTGTTGTGTCAGAATGTTTCTCAGACCAGTATTGTGTTGTCAGAATGTTTCTCAGATCAGTATTGTGTTGTGTCAGTAGTTTTTCTCAGACCAGTATTGTGTTGTGACAGTAGTGTTTCTCAGACCAGTATTGTGTTGTGACAGTAGTGTTTCTCAGACCAGTATTGTGTTGTGTCAGTAGTTTTTCTCAGACCAGTATTGTGTTGTGTCAGTAGTTTTTCTCAGACCAGTATTGTGTTGTGTCAGTAGTGTTTCTCAGACCAGTATTGTGTTGTGACAGTAGTGTTTCTCAGACCAGTATTGTGTTTGACAGTAGTGTTTCTCAGACAAGTATTGTGTTGTGACAGTAGTGTTTCTCAGACAAGTATTGTGTTGTGACAGTAGTGTTTCTCAGACAAGTATTGTGTTGTGACAGTAGTGTTTCTCAGACAAGTATTGTGTTGTGACAGTAGTGTTTCTTAGACAGTAGTGTGTTGTGCCAGTAGTTTCTAAGAGACAGTATTGTATTGTGTCAGTAGTTTCTAAGAGAAAGTAGCCTGCTGTTTGCATGTCATCACTTGACCTCTTCAGCTTGTATGTGCTGTTACCTAATCTATTCCTTTTCGCATCTGGCATAAGGTGTTAGAACTATGTTTTCAGTTGAGCTGACACTAAGTTGGTGATGTCAACATGATCCCGGCTGCCTTTACTTCCTAGGACTTTACCTGGTCTGTCCTGACCTGGGAGCCAAGATCACTTTGGAAAAAAATGTCTTAAAAGGAATGAACCCCTAGAACTTTGAGTCAGCAGGACTTGAGTATTGACATTGTGCTACAACAGCTTCCTAATGTGTTGCTGCATTTGGAAATCATCAGCCAAACTAAACAGGACCAAGCTTTTTAAATTTTATAATCCTGGCCAGAAATGGGGGGGGGGGGGGGGGGGGGGGGTGATGTTTATTACTTTAGTTATCAGAGGAAGAAGATGGAGGTGACTTGGTCATGTTTGCAGAATGCTTCAGGACACTCTGGCTAGAACAGCTCAGGTGGATGGCAGAGAAAAAAAGGGAGGCATGTGTGACCTAAGGAAAGCTGGAGAAGGACAGTAGAAAGAGAAACAAAGGTGAGTGAAATGGCATGGGGACCATAGGCAGAAAAGCAGCAAACTGGCAATAGTGGATAAAGTTATGAATGCCTTATGTGTCAACATTGATGTGTTGAGGATCCATGTGTGGGTTTCGGGGCCCTATTATGAGGTGAAAAAGAATAGACCCACTGCTCCCTAGTAGGCATGTCGTAAAAGTTGACTAATAAGCAGTGATTCCTCTGAAGTTGATGTATCTGCCTGAGGGGTGGGGACCTAGCAGTCTGCATACTCATAAGCCAGACCTGTAAAATGGATATGCACATAAAACTGAAGTTCTAAAACAAGACTAGAGTCCAGAAGTAGAGGAGTAACCAGAATTTTCTGCTGGAGTTTACAGTCGGTGAAGACTAAGAAGAAAGAAGTAGAAGAAGAAGATGATGTAGATAGAGATATTACTGATTGCAAATTCAACATCCACAGAGTTGCATTTGGACCTGACCTGGTCATGCTGAAACCGGACGAACAGTTCACTCTCCTGAGTTTGTCTGGAGGACGGCCGAAGACACCAAACGCAATCAAAGCCTTGTGTCTGCAACTGGGTCCAGATTTTGCCACTGATATCATTGTTGTTGAGACTGCTGACCATGCCAGGTTGTCCTTACAGCTGGCTTATAACTGGTAAATATTTACTGACTTTTTCCAGTTATTATTTCAGCTTTAACATACGTGACAACTTGCAGTAGAGAAATCTATTTGGTTATTTCCCAAAGCTCAGTATTAGTGTTGAGTTGAGTTGAGTCAAGAATTGACTTCACAGCACTCGAGGCATTCCCATGTGTGCTCCGTCCTGATCTTCAGCAGAAGGCGCTGAGTTCCAATACTGACGGTACCAGTCACAATCTGGTTATATGTCTGTAAAGTATTAGTGATTCTATCATGCCCTATTATGTATGGTATATTACCTCATTACAGCTATTGAGTGCAAAATCATAGGAATTATAAAAGGTATGTTGACAGTAGCTTAGCTGCTGGGTTGTTCTTCCATGTCAGATGGATCAAGGAAGAGGAACCACAGAGGGACATAACCCTGTTGCCCTGCAGATAGGTAGACTTGGGACAGTTAACACAACCTTGTTGCCTTGCAGATAGGTAGACTTGGGACAGTCAACACAACCCTGTTGCTTTGCAGATAGGTAGACTTGGGACAGTCAACACAACCTTGTTGCCTTGCAGATTGGTAGACTTGGGACAGTCAACACAACCCTGTTGCCTTGCAGATAGGCAGACTGGGGACAGTCAACACAACCCTGTTGCTTTGCAGATAAGTAGACTTGGGACAGTCAACACAACCCTGTTGCCTTGCAGATAGGTAGACTTGGGACAGCCAACACAACCTTGTTGCCTTGCAGATAGGTAGAGTTAGGACAGTTAAGACAACCCTGTTGTCTTGCAGATCGGTAGACTTGGGACAGTCAACACAACCCTGTTGCATTGCAAATAGGTTGACTTGGGACAGTCAAACTTACTTTTACTTGTTGTACGTATAAACATCCTAGCACATCAGTCCGACCCGTTTGTGCTCTATCCCCTGATGCAGCAGCCATCTCAGTTACTATGCTCAGTGCATGCACAAGAAGTTGTCTGGCATATCTTCTGTCTTTGCCTGGCGGCCGGTTTCTGTATGCTTATCCTTGTTTAATACCAATTTCAAACCAGCACTTCATCACTGACTCCCTTGTCTCAACGTCTGTGACACGCAACAAATTCAGTATGTCTGCTTTGTCCATATTTTTCTTCCACTAACCGCCGCAGACATAGTCAGTCTCTTGGCTCTTTTACTTCTTTTTACCCTGAGGTATCCTGGTGTGTACAACCAAGGTAGTTTTATGAGGTGGGACTTCTGAATGTTGTCAGGCCATTCTAGTCAGAGTCTGCCAATTAGGATCTTCTTAAGCATGCTCATCGAGTCTGTCACTACCATTGCGGAAGATGCTTTTTCTTTTTTCACCAGTTATGCTACTGGCCCTCTGACAGCTGTTGTCCCCATCATCATGCTAGAAGTAGTCGAACTGAATGCTCGGAACAGGCAAAGGCTAGGTACAGCAAACCTGAACAAGTTCTTATAGAATTCAGCCACACTGAGCCAGAGATGATGAAACTGCGGTGTACTTACTGTGATGATTCTTATCCTAGTTAATTTCACTCAATGAACCAAGAAGAAAAAAAACACTGACATCCGACATGATCTGAGCCTAGAGAAGAATTGGCTCATAAACAGCATCCTGTCCTGAAAGCTGAGTTATTTTGGCCGTGTTAAGCGTCATGGTGGCCTGGAGAGAAGAGTGATGGAGGGCCGACCAGCGTGAAGTTGTATACAGTGAAGATGTATTGGCTCTGAATGTACATAGGGCTGGAAAATCGGCTAGAGAAAGACTTTCAGGCATGCAGTGTCGAGAACAACGTTCTATAAAGAATTTGCTGATTGATGATGATGATGATGTATTTATTTGCTTGCAGGAATTTTGCCATATCTGAGAAGACTCCAGAAGAAGCTGCCAAGCTGTTCAGTGTGCCTGACTTCATTGGGGATGCATGCAAGGCAATAGCTTCTCGTGTGCGTGGAGCTGTAGCCCAGGTCCAGTTTGATGATTTTCATAAGGTGAGTTTCATTCTCCACTATGGTTTTTTTTTCCTTCTTTTTTAAATAATTCCTGTTTTGGTATCATTGTCTTCTGTGTTTGACCTCAGAAGGGCAGTTCACCTGTTGTCAGGATGTGATATGTGTGCCTTTCGAGCCAACACATCTGATTCCAGCGAACCAATAATTAGTCACACCTTTTGCGACATGAAGGTTAAGGACAGTGGCTCAGAACAATGCATAGGAACAACATATGATATGACTAGAACACTGGGTTGGAGTTCTTGAACAGTGAAATAGTTTAACTCTGTGGGTGGGGGGGGGGTGTGTTTTGGTATGATCAGAACACTGGGTTGGAGTTCTTGAACAGTGAAATAGTTTAACTCTGTGGGTGGGGGGGGGGGGGGTGTGTTTTGGTATGATCAGAACACTGGGTTGGAGTTCTTGAACAGTGAAATAGTTTAACTCTGTGGGTGGGGGGGGGGGGGGGGTGTGTTTTGGTATGATCAGAACACTGGGTTGGAGTTCCTAAACAGTGAAATAGTTTAACTCTGTGGGTGGGGGGGGGGGGGGGTGTTTTGGTATGATCAGAACACTGGGTTGGAGTTCCTGAACAGTGAAAAATAGTTTAACTCTGTGGGTGGGGGGGGGGGGGGGTGTTTTGGTATGATCAGAACACTGGGTTGGAGTTCTTGAACAGTGAAATAGTTTTAACTCTGTGGGTGGGGGGGGGGGGGGGTGTGTTTTGGTATGATCAGAACACTGGGTTGGAGTTCTTGAACAGTGAAATAGTTTAACTCTGTGGGTGGGGGGGGGGGGGGTGTTTTGGTATGATCAGAACACTGGGTTGGAGTTCTTGAACAGTGAAATAGTTTAACTCTGTGGGTGGGGGGGGGGGGGGGGTGTGTGTTTTTGGTATGATCAGAACACTGGGTTGGAGTTCTTGAACAGTGAAATAGTTTAACTCTGTGGGTGGGGGGGGGGGGGGGTGGTGTGTTTTGGTATGATCAGAACACTGGGTTGGAGTTCTTGAACAGTGAAATAGTTTAACTCTGTGGGGTGGGGGGGGGGGGGGGGGTGTTTTGGTATGATCAGAACACTGGGTTGGAGTTCTTGAACAGTGAAATAGTTTAACTCTGTGGGTGGTGGGGGGGGGGGGTGTGTTTTGGTATGATCAGAACACTGGGTTGGAGTTCTTGAACAGTGAAATAGTTTAACTCTGTGGGTGGGGGGGGGGGGGTGTGTTTTGGTATGATCAGAACACTGGGTTGGAGTTCTTAAACAGTGAAATAGTTTAACTCTGTGGGTGGGGGGGGGGGGGGGTGTGTTTGGTATGATCAGAACACTGGGTTGGAGTTCTTGAACAGTGAAATAGTTTAACTCTGTGGGTGGGGGGGGGGGGGGTGTGTGTGTTTTTGGTATGATCAGAACACTGGGTTGGAGTTCTTGAACAGTGAAATAGTTTAACTCTGTGGGGGGGGGGGGGGGGTGTGTGTTTTGGTATGATCAGAACACTGGGTTGGAGTTCCTAAACAGTGAAATAGTTTAACTCTGTGGGGGGGGGGGGGGGGGGGTGTGTGTGTTGTTGGTGTGTGTATATGATCAGAACACTGGGTTGGAGTTCTTGAACAGTGAAATAGTTTAACTCTGTGGGTGGGGGGGGGGGGGTGTTTTGGTATGATCAGAACACTGGGTTGGAGTTCTTGAACAGTGAAATAGTTTAACTCTGTGGGTGGGGGAGGTGTTTTGGTATGACCAGAACCCTGGGTTGGAGTTCTTGAACAGTGAAATAGTTTAACTCTGTGGGAGCGGGGGGGGGGGGGGGGGGGGGGGGGGTGTGTTTTTGGTATGATCAGAACACTGGGTTGTTCTTGAACAGTGAAACTCTGTGGGGAGGTGTTTTGGTATGACCAGAACCCTGGGTTGGAGTTCTTGAACAGTGAAATAGTTTAACTCTGTGGGGGGGGGGGGGGGGGGTTTTGGTATGATCAGAACACTGGGTTGGAGTTCTTGAACAGTGAAATAGTTTAACTCTGTGGGGGGGGGGGGGGGGTGTTTTGGTATGATCAGAACACTGGGTTGGAGTTCTTGAACAGTGAAATAGTTTTAACTCTGTGGGTGGGGGAGGTGTTTTGGTATGACCAGAACCCTGGGTTGGAGTTCTTGAACAGTGAAATAGTTTAACTCTGTGGGGGGGGGGGGTGTTTTGGTATGATCAGAACACTGGGTTGTTCTTGAACAGTGAAACTCTGTGGGGAGGTGTTTTGGTAGGACCAGAACCCTGGGTTGGAGTTCTTGAACAGTGAAATAGTTTAACTCTGTGGGGGAGGGGACTCTAGAAAGAATCAAAGAGCAAATGTTCTTATGTTATATCCACAGGAATCTCTGAAATCCAAGAAGAGCCTAAACTCAAAGTTTTCAGCCTCAGTTCCATCAAGTGTAGATTCTCAAGTCTTGTTTCTTCATCAAGATTTTGCCTAAAGAACTATAGTAAAACCTTGTTACCACGAATTCCAAGGTGCCAACAAATTAAAAAGTGTATGTCTAAAACAATTGAGTACTAACCATGGATTAATAATAACACAGTCCTGCTGGGACCAAAATGTTGCTCATCTTATTCAAGTATTTTTCTTAAGCAAGTATTAACAAGGTTTAAATATATATATATCTGTCGCTCAGAACTCTGCCAAAATTCTCCGAGCCTCAGTGTTTGGCCTTGATGCTAGTGGCAAGGTGAAGGATATCTTCAGCTTCTCCCAGAACAACCTGGTGATCACCAGCATCGACATCCAGTCGGTGGAACCCGTGGACCAGAGGACTAAAGATGCCCTACAGAAATCTGTCCAGCTGGCCATTGAGATAACAACACATACATGCAGATACACCTATATTCCCAATACAGGCATGCTTCAAACATACATACATACAAACATACATACCCGCAGACACACCTGCACCCACAGACACACCTGCACCCACACCCGCATGCACACTTGCACCTGCAGGCACCCGCAGAGGCACCTACAAGTGCAGACACCGACACACAAGACACATTTTCACTGACAAACACACAGGCATATACACACATACATACACATGCAGGCACACACACACACACTCAAACATACATTGACACGTACATGTAGACACACACACACACAAACACACACTGCATTTACACACAGACATATACACACACATGCCCGCAGACACAGAGACAGAAAAACACACACAGGCATATACACAAACACGCAGAAACACACACACATATATACGCATACAACACACACGCAGACAGACACACACAGCACACACGCAGATAAACACAACAACACATGCACGTAAACATACACGAACAGATACATACATACAGTGACACAACACATGCAGACACAATACACAACATACACGGGGACATTAACATTCACAGAAGCAACATAGACATAGACATGTCTCACATACAGACACACCACACACACAATATACAGATGCGCTCACACACACACACACACACCTAGACACTACACAACTAGACACCACACACACAGACAGGCACACGCACTCACACACATAGATAATTACAAATACCTGCTGATATTCAAATACTCAGAGATTAACATACAGATGGAGAGTCTCAAACAAGATAGACAGACAGACAGACAAATAGATAAATAGGTGAGTTGATGGTAGAGACAGACAGATGGATAGAGTGTGGGTATATGGATAGAAAGAGGGAGGGAGGGCTAGAGGTAGATTTATTGAGGTGTGGATAGATAGGCAGGTAGACAGACAGATAGGTATATATTTTAACTAACTTTGGTTTGTTGTTAAACTTGTATGACTGTCTGTAACAGACACGAGGCCGAGCGACTAGAACAAGAAGCTCGAGGTAGACTGGAGCGCCAGAAGATCTCAGACGAGGCTGAGGCAGAAAGAGCTCGCAGAGAACTGCTGGAGCTCCAGGCTCACAGTGCTGCTGTGGAAAGCACAGGCCAGGCCAAGGCAGAGGCTCAGAGTCACGCTGAGGCTTCCCGGATTGAAGGAGAGGCAGGAGTGGAACAAGCCAGGCTGAGGGCACAGGCTACCAAAATTGAGTCCGTGAGTTGAAATTGTGTGTGTGTGTGTGTGCGTCTATTCTTATTCTGCATTTTCCCCTAAAATGACAGATAACACATTATCTTGTGGTTTACAGCTAGGCTAGAAGCTGAAGCTGCTGGACCAGATTCTATTCATGATACTGAAGCGATTGCACAAGATAGAACCGAATGGAGAAATAGACGGTGAGCCCTATGTGGCATGTAATGGCATAACAGGACAATGAAAGGAATGGAGAAATAGACGGTGAGTCCTATGTGACATGTAATGGCATAACAGGACAATAAAGGAATGGAGAAATAGACGGCGAGCCCTATGTGGCATGTAATGGCATAACAGGACAATAAAGGAATGGAGAAATAGACGGCGAGCCCTATGTGACATGTAATGGCATAACAGGACAATGAAAGGAATGGAGAAATAGACGGTGAGCCCTATGTGGCATGTAATGGCATAACAGGACAATAAAGGAATGGAGAAATAGATGGTGAGCCCTATGTGGCATGTAATGGCATAACAGGACAATGAAAGGAACGGACTGCAGTACAGCTGGAGATTCTAACCACTCATTTACTGGTTATCGACATACTAGAGCACATTGCTTTGAAAATATGGGGGTGACTGCAGTCAAGCTATTACAAGGAATTCCAGTGAAATGTGACTCAACAGCTCAACGAAATGGGGAAGCAGAAAGACATACACAAAACACACACATGTGTGTTGAATGAGATGTATTTGTGTTGTTTGTGCACGTTTTTCTGCTTCCTCATTTCGTTAAGCTTTTTAGTCACATTCAACTGGAATTCCACATTGGTCTGACCTATTCGTACTCCGTCCTCTGATGCAGCAGCCATCTGTGTCTCCATGGTCACCTTACCCAGTAGGAGTTGACGGTCAAATCTTCTTTCTTTGCCCTGCAACCAGTT